TCTATGATAATTATAATAATAATAATAGGTATAACAATAATGATAACAAAAATTACTAAAATATTCAAAAACAAAACAGGAATGTATTATATACATAATGTATGTACTTTATGCTCCCTAAAATGCAGTGAGAAGAGATTGCCTGTTGGTTTATTGTAAGTAAAAACATGCACTGTCACTACTACTGTATGTCCTATTGAAGTTTGTCTATTATAATATTGTGTGCATAAATGTCATGTGATCATCATGTGCTGAGTGGCTTAATCTGTGGGTGGGTAAGTATCTCTTAGTGAGGTGTTGGTGTTGGTGTATGATATTTATGCTACATGCATTCTGGCTCCATAGCTGTTTTGAATTATCCAATTAGACAATTATTCAATAATTATTTGTGTTACTATGGTTATAGCCATGCCCAGGACTCTTGCCATGCCTTATGCTAACATTTTTCAGAGCACTGCAGAATACCAGTAATTGCATTTTTGAGCAGAGCAGGCAACCCTGGCATTCCATCGTGATAATTTCAGTTTCATAGTTTTTCCTCCTGAATATGTACATGTATATAATGTACACTACAGACTGTTTTAACACTACACAGCAAATCTAAGATCTATTTGCACCAAATGGTCTCTCTTGTATAAGTTGTAATGGTAAATCCCTTTAACATCATGTAGTATATTGTTGCTGCTATTGTTACATCATGTAGTCACGTACACACAGGGAGTGGGCCACACTATTCTGCCTGCTGAGTTATCACAACAGTTTGAGTTCATAAACACACCCACAGACATTTCTTTGGTCAACAATGCTTTCAGTACAAGTGGTTGTCTTCTTGTTGAGTGTCAGTGAAGTTATTAGTCAATGTCCACCTTCCTCAGGTAAGACACTGGATGTGTATAATAACAACTGTATAGGTTTATATAGGTATCTACCTGATGCATAATGGAATCTGCTATACTAATAATGGATCATTTTTTACTGACGGTAGCATCAGACCAGCTCCTGTACTAGAGTGTGTATTACCTAATGCTACTCTGAATGGTGGAGAATGGATTGGTCCTAATGGAGTAGTTCCTTGTGGTAGTGGTAGCAATCAAAATGTTCGTTGTACTACTGGGTCAGGTGCTAGTCTCAGTGTTTTTGTAAATCCACCAAGCTTTCTTGGGGCAGATGGTGATGGCCAGTATATGTGTTGTCTACCCACTAGTTGTTCAACTCCTGGTACTAACATCATCACTACTACTATATTCAGTAAGAGGAGACTATAATCACTTGCTGATTAATAATTTTCATTTGTAGGATTTTCAGAGATAGAATCATTTACTGTTGCTAATCTTCCTTCTGATATGACAGTATATCCTCAGGAATACAAACTGAATTGTACTAAAATTGGACATGATAGGTATGACATTAGTATGAGCATTGGTAATAGTCCACTGGCTAGTTACACTAACTGTTATGATGATAATTGTGGTGGTACTGAGTTAAGTGGTCCTGTTTATAACACAGTAAGATATACTGTTAGTATCACATGGGATGGAATGAATGTCAGTAGTGGATCAATCAGTCAATCAACCACTGGAGATCAAATGTATCAGTGCAGGTTAGCAGATCATCCTGGTGGTTTTGAAATTAGAATTCGTAATGTAACTATAAAAGGTAATGTCAATAAATGCCAATAATTTTGATGCCAATAATATTAGTACCAGCAACTGCTCCCTCTTCTCTTACTGAGGTCAGTAAGGCAGCTACCACTATCACTGTCAGTTGGACTGCACTTAATTCATCTGATGCTGATGGATATGTAGTCAATGTCACTAGTGACACAGACACTGTGCAGACAGTACAGGTGGAGGGAAGTAGTAATAATACAATCACACTGAATGGACTAAGAGGAGGAACAACTTATAGCATCACAATCAGAGCCTATCAACAATTACTGGGACCTGCTAGTACAATCAGTGTACAGACCTTACCAGGTATTGCTACTGCACCTTTTAATGTACTTGTAACATTGTTGATGTATTTCTAGTTATTAATTCAATCAATTGGACACTAGTCTCATCCATTACACAACTCAATAACACTCAATATCGTATTGATTGTCTCACAACTACTGATGTAATAAATCCTTCAACTGATGTTTACTGGTTAGTGAATGGAGTGATGAAGAATAACTCAATGTATACATCAATTGATGTCCTGACATACAACAACACACTACTGGTATATCCTGATCCACTGGGAGTGTCAGTTAATGTTACCTGTATAGCAATGATTGGAGGAGTCAACTATAATCAATCTGTGATGTTACATGGTATGATTATACTTTAATCAATAGATACTTTTGTCTTTTTTCTAGCTCCTAGTGGTCCTCCAAATAATGTGAAAGGGTTTATATTAAATGCTACTAGTATCAAAGTGAACTGGACCACTTCATCAGAGACTAATGGATATGTGATTGAGTATACTACTGGAAGTATAGCCAGGAATGTAGTATCTACCAGTGA